TGTGTTTAGGATGGACCAGCCTCTGAGAGTCCTGTTCAGTTTGAAAAGCACAAGAATGTTGTGTTTGGAGAAAATCTTTCAGAGTTTCAGATACTGCAGCAGCATATCTGTGTCTGATGTCTGGTCTGTGTTTTTTATTTTTTTTTTTTTTATTCCTAGCTGATTACACAACACCTAAGTTAGGATATGTACAGGTTTGGAGAGCTTTTTTCWGTTGTTTCTGTTCATTTTCATTCTCTTCTGTTTTCATGGGGACATGTTCAGCTCGATGGTATGAAGTTCTGATGACAGAAAGTTTGTGCTCCAGTGGKAGGTGAGAGTCAAACAGAAGTTACTGATCTGTGTGAGTTGATTTCCTGTAAACCTCAATGTTGAGGCTTCCATCTCTTTCCATGTGCATCGAACAGTCCAGAAAAGTCAGCTTGCTGTCTTCACCATCCTCTCTGGTGAACTTAATAAGTTGACATGTTTTAGTGAAGGCATCATCCACATATCTGAGCCAGTGGTCGATGCTGCTCCCTGAAAGGAGTTAAGGGTTTTCTTTTCCATGACCTCTGTCTAAAGACTGGTGACGGTTGAGATCCTATGGCACAACCATGCGTTTGTTTCACACCTGGTTTCAGTTCATAATCAGCACATCTGTGGTGAATTCGTGGTTATTTACCTCATTTCTCACTGTTKCAGATTTTCGTTTCACCCTTGCCTGATTGGGGCCGCTTCAGTTCAGTTTCCCTGCACCTCTTCACTTTAGTCTCATTTGAAAAAACMAATCTGCTGTCCACGCAGTGCCCAGTTTTAGGTCCCCATTTAGATTAGAATATAACCTTGCTATGATCAAACAGAATGTGGAAGTCTCTGCAAGGTCTTGAAATGTTAAAGGGCCCCGCCTACTCTATCCAAAGCAGTGAAAAATTGCATYATTTTGTAAAAGTAGTTTGTCCACACCTTCTTGGCACACGATGTGGGTCAAACTATTTCTCCCAGGAGTATGTGCATGGTGTGATTTGTTAGAAGTTTGTGGCCATGTTGGTTTATGCAGGAAAAGTGCTCCGACAGCAACGGCATAGTTTTGCTTCAACTACTCATGTTTACAGTTGGCCAAGGCAGTCAGAAAACACATCTGTACCACTCTTCCAAACACATAAAAATATGGTCAAATGCCTCAAAACTCCTATATGGGGATAGCAGACATTTTCCATGAAGGAGTCTGTCTGCTGCAAGGTGGGGCGCTCTATCAGTGACAAATCTGTAGCCAAACGGCAGACGCAGAAACAGAGTGGAGACCCTGGTGGGAAGAAAGCTTTGCTGTTATGTGCTCTGCAGTGGGAGGGGCTTCCCAGGGGCCCAGGGTCTGCGTCTGTGCTGTATGTCTCAGATATTATGAAAGGTATGTGAGAAATCCAACTTCTTGCAACCACATGACCACGAGCCGACTTCTTCATTTCTGATGGAGCCCTTCAGCTGCATACTAGGACTTCAGTTGGGATCCTTATGTGATAGAGCTTTTTTTGGTCGGATTTAAGCATGCACAGTACTCCTGTAGGGAGGTTGTGTTGGTTTATCARCATAGTTGCTGTCAGAATTCCAGTTTTATTTTTCTGTTTATCACTAACCTCTTGAGTTTCAGGGTGAGATTGGAAACAGCATGTTGGGGTCCTGGGTGAAGTATGAAGGCAAGCAGTGGCTGCATATCTAACTTAAGTGAATGAAACTGAACAACAAAAAACACAAATGTCCTGATACATCTCAGTAATCCAGGTAAAAAATCAAAAAGAAAAAAATTGTATAGGTCCTCTGGACG